GGCGCTAATCCAATCTTTTTTTTTTTTTTTTAAAAGAATCTTTATTGAACAAGTCAGGATACAATTCTCAGTAAACAGAAAAGGCGCTAATCCAGTCACCGAACGCCCACGGCCAGTCTCGACGTAAGGCCTTCTAGCTGGCCCTAATACGCAGACGAGTCTATTGCAACCTGACTGTGCCCGTTCACTTACAGCACACAAGGACCTGCTCTGTTTAATCTGAAGGCCCCGAGCAAGTTTAATTAACCTGGCAACACAAGCTAGATGAAATATGATTGGTTAAAAACTCTACCATAATAAATAAGTTATTTATCGAGTGGCTTTCACTGTTATTTAAAATAACATCCCAGTTATTTAAAATAACAGTGAAAGCCACTCGACGAAGTGGAAATAATATGACGTAAAGAATACAGACAACAATTTTGTTTACATATTTATGAAAATAAAATAACATAAATTAATGTTATTCTCAGAAAAGTAAATTTACTTTTCCGAGAATGTTTAGGCCAGCAGAGAAGGCCTTGCTGGCTGTGTGGAGTTTGCATGTTCTCCCGGGGCCGGCGTGGGTTTTCTCCAGGTACTCCGGTTTCCTCCCATGTTCCAAAAACATGAATGGCAGGCTGATTGAACACTCAAAATTGTCCCAAGGTGTGAGTGTGAGCGCGGATCGTTGTTCGTCTCTGTGTGCCCTGCGATTGACTGGCAACCGGTTCAGGGTGTCCCCCGCCTACTGCCCGAAGACAGCTGGGATAGGCTCCAGCACCCCCCGTGACCCTTGTGAGGATAAGTGGATCGGAAAATGAATGAATGAATGCCTTATTTGCATTTTTGTTTCATTTTTGGAAAATAAATATCTTGTTTTGATTTCATCCTGCGCTTCTGCCTTGCTTTCCTGCACTTGGGTCCACCTATTTGCCACTACCACAACAAACCCACAACCCGTGACAAAAAGAGCACATTTGTGTGATTAATTCCAGCAACAGAAAAGTCAGTTAATTAGTCAGCCCCTCAATGACCATATTAACAATCTCTGACTTTCCTCCATATCGATTTTAGAATAAACTTACCCTTTACAAATTTCAATTGCATTCAGTCTTCCATCAAAGCAGTTTACCTCATGCAATTATCGTCTTTCGACTCATACTTCACACATTCAAATTGTCTGTCTAGAACGGCATATGTGATGCCATGTTGAAAAGATACTTTTTGGGATTTTTTTTTTGTGTGAAAGTTAAAGTGTGACTCCAAAAAGGCTACAATATCCTTGCTAGTTTTTAACATAGTTGACAAAAAAAAGTGATGCATCTGATTTTTATGTACCTATTGCTGTGGTCAATTGAGTGTCTTGTGATTCTAGTCCAAGTAGAAGTCAGACAGAATTTCCACATTCTTCACATGCGAATGTTTGTTGAACACAAAGGTGTCAGCGTGGGTCCGTCTAGTATGCAGGTGCGTGGGTGAGCGTATTTCGCCCAGGGGACCCCTGACGACACCTTGGGTCCGAGGAACTCCCAGATCACGCACGTCGTTGCGGTGAGTTTGCACAGACTCCCCCTCATGACGTCACTTCTGGAGGCAGGCTGCTGCTGGGCTGGCAGCCTTCTGCTCCATCAAGAAACTTTCCTGGACTTAAGGAGCTCCAAGGACGTAGTGACTCCGACCAGCCGCAGCAGAAAACTCCTCGCGCGGGGACAGCGGTCACTGAGTTGTACTTTTCGGTGCTAAAATTATTTTCATTGAGTTGCCATAGGGAACCGAGCTATATATTTTTCTCCCTTTTCCCTCTTTTTAAAGGACCATACAAAGTTCGAGGACTACAAGAATTATATTCAGCCACACTGGCGTGTTTTCATAGGCAATTATTTTGCCGAGCCTACTTTTAATAATTTCTTTCAACTTTGTATTTCTCACGACGCGGACATGATTTGGAGTAGGGGCCTATTACTTTCATTTGGTTTCCTTCTCTCACCATTCTGTTTGTCAGCTGGGGCACAGCCGCACAACCAGAGCGGCGTCAGGAAGCTGTACGTGCTCCAACCCGACCCGGGTCCAGGTCCGGGTCCGGGCTCGGCGATAGCTAACCGAGGGGATGGGATGCGAGTCAGCTCCATTTCAACGCGTCACGGCGCGTCGGGGCTTCCGCACTCTTATAACGTCGAACTCACCGCTAAGTTGGGCGGCCAGGTCCGGACCCGCCGGATGGGGAAGCAAGTCTCGACAGCCCAGGAGTCCATTGTTCGGCACGGCGGTCCGGAGCAGAACCAGCACAGGCAACTTCTCAAGCAGTCTGGGTAAGACGGTGTGTCGGTGTCGGTAGAAGTCAGGCTACCGATGTATTCATTCACTTTTTAAAGTTATTTATTCTAAATTGGTTTGATTACTTCAATGAAAAGTGACTTAAAGGTCCATATCCTTCTCTGGCTTTTCAAGACATTTTAATTAGCTGTCTGACTCTTTTGCAGTGCTGAGCGCCAAACTGAATATTTACTTGAGATTAAGAAATCCGAGCCAATGTCTTTTTCTTCTAATTAATTAATTGGGTTTCCCCCAACTTTTTGGTAGCACATACACAACACTGCGCGGTCTTTGTGAGCAGTGAGCAAACTGAGTCCACGCCTTGGCTGTAACTCTGAAAAGACTTGTCCCTTCAATTGAAGGATGAGGGTTTTGACCCATAATTGGTTTTTTTCTGATAACTGTTTTAATTATTTTTGTGTGACACAATAATAAGATCGGCAATTCATGGAAACATTAAATATATGATAAAACATATCTCAGAGGTTGTGTTTTGTCAAGAAATTCAAATTGAGCCAAACGCATCTGGAGTAACATGCATTCATTGTGGAATTGGAAGTCCACCAGATTTACTTTGACCTTTGCTGGGCCTCACTGTCGTGAAGAAAAGAGAGTCTGCCTAATTTTCATTCAAGCTCTCCATGCCTGTCAGGAAAGCTTCTTGTTGATTAAATTGAATGAATTGAAATGACTTTCCATGCGCAGTTGGTTACCAGGTGGTCTGATGAAAGTTAGTCGCTATTGGCTACTCAATCCTGTCAAGCACGGTGCAGCAACATTTTCAAGTTACACAGTTGCCTCTGCTTGTTTTACATTTGCAGAGTGAATGTCTGTGGGAGCCAGTGCTGTCATGGATGGAGTAAAGCTCAAGGATCCCAGCGGTGCACAAAGCGTAAGTAATTTCAAACATTCCTTACACAAACAGTCTAGATTTGGGTTGGGCGTGATGAAACAATTGATAAAGGGTTCCAAAATTGTTGTTCATGTAGAATTGGGATCTACCGGTAATATCTGTGTGACAACATGATATACAGTTGTCTCAACATCTACGGCAATGTCGGCATAATGGACTTCAGTACTTGGTAATAACATGCAAAAAGGCATTTTTTTTTAGATTTAAATATGTAATACAACAGGGTTCTCCCGTCATTACGTCATTGTGCATACAGTATCTTGCGAGCCTGTATGCAGAGTAGAACACAATAAATACAAATAATGAACTGTTGCCGACAAAGAGCATGCACTGTGCGTGACGTTGAGTATGATGTGACTCAATGTTTGGTTTGGCCCTGAGATGAAGTAATTTTGGGAACTCCAATCAGCTGAATACTTGAAGGGGTGGAGAGGCTCTCCTTGTTTATACAGACACAGGAAGCATGACGCAAACATCTGGACGATGACCAATCGGCGACATTCCTCAATGTCATACTGTACCTTCAACCATGGCCAGACATTTCTATTTCAAAAGGCACTAATGCAGTGAACGACAGTGTGTATGTGATAGTATACAACCGAAAAGTGAGTGACCTGTCATGCCTGAACAAGCTAAAAACATTAGACATGATTGTCACTGGCCAAACAATTTGGTAAATACCTTGTGCCTTTTATTCATATCCATACAAAATTGGATGTACTGTACACAATGCCAGCGGGGGCGGCCCAGTGGTCCAGTGGTTAGCACGTGGACCTCCCAGTGCAGAGGTCGTGGGTTCGATCCCAGCTCCAACCTTCCTGTGTGGAGTTTGCATGTTCTCCCCGGGTCTGCGTGGGTTTTCTCCGGGTACTCCGGTTTCCTCCCACATTCCAAAAACATGCATGGCAGACTGATTGAACACTGTAAATTGTCCCTAGGTGTGAGTGTGAGCGCAGATGGTCGTCCGTCTCTGTGTGTCCTGTGATTAGCTGAAAACCCATTGGGGTGTACCCCGAATGTTGCTATGCAGTGGCGGGCCGTGCATTTCAACCTTAGGCCTTCAGTGACGTCACATACATGAACGCAATACTGTACAGGCTCGTCAAGCAGCACTTAATTTCAGCAGCATTTAAAACCATCAAGTATGCATTCACAATTAAGAGCAGGAAACTAAATTTACAGATCGTCAAAAATAAAAAGATGATTTAAAAATACGAAATAAAATGCCACCCAAAGTACGCTGTGTGATCTTAAACAAGTCTGTCCAATAAATTGCGCAATGTCGCAGTTTCATATAAGACACCAACCAAACAGTAACAAAACAAACTATTCTTTGAAAATAAACAGATCATTTGCATTTTGAAAATCGGCAATACAACAGCAAATAACTGAAAATGTTGAGCAGCTGAGATTGAACGAACTTTCGTGCACGAAGGTGACTACAATGCGCCATTATAAATTGCAGGTGAGCAGATTTATTTGATACATGTTTGTATGTTTGTCATTTTATACACAGGAGTTAGAGAGAGAGAGAGAGAGAGAGAGAGAGAGAGAGAGAGAGAGAGAGAGAGAGATAATCTCTCCATCACTATCAAATAAACAATTAATGGATTAATTGATTATTCCGTTTTCCCAATACTCATTTCAAGAAATGCTCATCCCTTTCTGGTATTTACTATGGCCTCTGTGCTCGGGGTTGACTCATGAGTCACCACTACAAAATAATTAATCCGTGGATGAATAATCAAGAAACTTTTGAACAAGCTCCCTAGTCACTGACTGAATGGCAAAGCAGACTAGTTCTTTGTCAAATCTGCTTAAACGTGCTTGTAAGGCATGGTGGCTGGCTGCTGTAGACCAAACACAATTGTGACTTATGGGAATTGCTTAGTTCACTTTGACAATGTCAGGTATGCAGGAAAATGGCAATGAATGTCGGCCCCCCTGCCAATTCCGTTTGACAAATTGGCTTTTCACATTTTCTTCCACTGTAGGACAACATTGGGGGAAAAAATAAAAAAGACAGCGGAATCTAACTGGGACATAGAGTGAGAAGGGACCGAATAATTAATTGGCCGGCCGCTTTATAGGTCAAGCATGAAGTACACTTAAAAAAAACTATTTCAAGCATACTTTCGTTTTGTTTTTAACGCAACCCACCCAGGTTCATACTTAGACCCACAACAACGCGCTTAACAACAAACATTTACAGTCATTTACAGAATGCCGAGTCACCAGTCGGCATTGTAATGCACTGTTGATTGTCCTGTTAACTGCTCTTTGCCATTGTTATTGAGTTATTCGGCGAAATGCCTCAGCACTGAGCGGCGATGCGCTGTTCACGTTCATGCAAACTGGTTTGAATGGCCAAAAGAAACGACTGGGGCACGTAAATGGACCGGAAAACTGGAACGATATAGATTAGTTTTCGCAAAGTGGTTGAATTTCACATTGGTGTAGCACTTAGAATGAAAACATTTGATTCAAAATATTGCACTCATACATGAATGGAATCATGTACGAAAACATCCAAACTCTATCAGTGCATGGATGGAATCCTTGGTCATGGTTTACAGCCAACAATGCTTGCCGACATAATGTTCGGAGTGGCTAATAACGCGTCAGACATTCTAAAATGACTGACCTCCTGACCTTTAATCAGGAGATATTGACTCTTTTATTACATTTATTTATTCAAACACATTAACACATTACAACACAAGACAAAACCTTCAACCTCAATACACACAAAATTCTCTGTTGTAAAGTTAAACAAGTACAAAAGGAATTAGTTTCTTCTTCTTCTTCTCCTTTCGGCACGTCCCTATTCAGGGGTCGCCACAGCGAGTCAGTAATTTCCATCCGCCCCTGTAAACCGTCCTACCAACTCGCATGGTCGTCTTGGCAAAAGTTTTACGCCGGATGCCATTCCTGACGCAACCCTCCCCATTTCTCCGGGCTTGGGACCGGCACTGGGGAACAGTGCACCCCCAGGGGAGGGCACTGCCCCCCAGCGGCTGGGTTTACAAAAGGAATTAGTTTATAATATATAAATAATATATAAAATACTAAAGTATTGTAAAATTTAAGTTTGCTAAATTTCTGCTTGTAATTCGTGTCTTTATTGTTGTAAATCATTGGAGACCAAAAAATAAGTTATTTTTGTCATAAAATATATTTTTTTAATTAATCAGACAATCGGTTATTTGAATTTTATCCCGCCAAATACCTAAATTGGCATCAGCCTCACATGCGGTATGGGTCGGGCCCTGTATATATATTTTTTAACAATAAATGGCATTGTTTTACAAAATCATTTCGAGAGTTTAGGTTCGGGCCTCTATCCCTCACAACATGAAGGAAAAAGATGTGTCTGGAGAACCTTGAAATTGAACTAAGCTGTTAATGTCAATGGCCATAAATCTACTGTCAATCCAAAACCATGTCCATGGGGAATTTTCGTGAAATGGATCTACAAAGTTTTTTTTCTAAGTTCTTTTTTTGTTTTGTCCAAATGCAACTGTCTCTTCAGAAGCCTCATTTTTTTAAAATCGTTTCCCAGAGTGAATGCATCTCAAGTTGCTGCCCTTACGTTTCTGTGTGCACAGAAAGACATAATGCATCAAGGTTACGGAATAGTCTTCACGTGTGTCGCGACAAACCTTGTCTGTCATTGTAAGGCAAACATGCCCAACGGGTGCCGTCCACCTGAGTCCAAAATACATTAAGCAGAAGCTCTACCTTGTCATCAGAACATGCACGTCTCCTTTCTTGCTTGCTTTGCATCCCCCTGCATTGTTGTGACTATGTTTCCATGGCACTGACATCCTATTCTGTTTTTAATGACTTTTTGTGGCAGAGTTATAGTGCCACTTGCTTGTGTGTGTGTGTGTGTGTGTGTGTGTGTGTGTGTGTGTGTGTGTGTGTGTGTGTGTGTGTGTGTGTGCGCGCACACATTCCTTGAAACGATTTCATGTTAACGGGAAACTTTTTAAAAAGAAAAAGGTCGGCTCGGTTTGCCGTGCGGACATGGCCTAAGACAGACGTGCAATGTTACACACCCATTTCCATTCGAACATTGCTGAGCTTTTACAGTGAGCAAATTCAGTCAGCTTTTTACTCCCTGAGGATTGACCATTAGAACACCTGGCAAAATGCTTACTGAAGTACTTTTTCCACTTTTCTTTGAGGGCCAAGCTTATTAGAGCTCATTACAGAATTACATGAGAAGTGCAGACACCATAGAGCTGTGTGTAGGAAGAAAAAAAATGTACTGGGAAGCATGTCCATCTTCAGACCCCCAATCTCTTTGATAGTACATAACCTCTTAATTAATTATCCATTTTAATGTAAGGGAGTGATTTCTTGCAGAAAAAAAATTTCCACGGCAGATAATTACATTTCGATAGCTTTATCGCCTTTTGTTTAAGCTTGATCAAGAGAAGGTAATTGGGCTTTGTAAATGAAAAAAAAAATCCATATTATTTGCTGAAATGGTTAGTTTACAGTATAAACTTCTTTTTACGCCAATGCCTTGGCAAAATATGAAAACTGTGTTAACTTCGTGCAATATTATTATTATTATTTTCCTTTCATAATTTTTGTTTGCATTTTGTCATCTGTTATTGTATGTTTTATATATGTTCAATAAACAAACAAACAAACAAACAAACAATATTGGATGTAATTTCACCGTTTTTTTGACTGGCAACTGATCCAGCGTGAAGTCTGCCTCTCTCCAAAATCAGCTATAGGATGGCCTCCATCTTGTCCCTAAAAAGGATGAGCGTAGAAAATAATGAATTGAATTAAATTTGACACTTTTGTCTTTTCGATGATCACTTGACAAGTTGGTTAAGAAGACCTCACGTGTTGCACATGCTTGGTAACAGCTTAGTTGGTACCGTTGCATTGAGTTGGGGCAAACAAAACAAACAGCGCACAGATGTTATGTGGCACTATGCACTAGGGATGTCCCG